GACGGAGCCGGAAGCGGCGTCGTTTGTGCGGAGGGTGTCGATTTGGAGGAAGGTGGATAAATCGAAGACGGAGATTTTGTTGGTGGAGCCGGAGTAGAGGAGGCCGTTGTGGGATGCGAGGCAGCTGATGTTTGGAATTATTGGAGCGGTGGGGGACGAGAGAGAGAGAGTGGCGACGCATTGGTGATCTGAGATTGTTTCTCCGATGCTGTACATTTCTGAGGAAAGACTGCCGATGGGGACGACGGTCGCCTGCACAGGTTTTATAAACAAAAATAGGATGCATTTTTAAAAAATATTTTAGTGATTTTGAAAAAAAAAAATTATATAAATTAGATTTATTTTTTTAAAATTAATTGTTTAATTTACTAAATATGATCCAGTTATGTAATGCCAAAATCAAACACATTTTAATCTCGTAATTGTTCCATTGAATTTGATGATATATATTTTTTTCTTTTTCATAAAAGTTTCTAATTATATTTTTTTAAAACAAATATTTTTACATTTTTTTAATTGTTAAATGTTAGTGGGATACTTACTGTCCCTTATTTTCATGTTGATTTGTTTTTTTAGTATAACATGTGGGGTGGGGAATCGAACTCACAACCTCATCTCAAATACCGTTGAATTATACTCACTTTGATATTTTCGTATTTATTTGTTGACAGTTTTTTAATTATTTAAAAAATAGAAAACATATTTATTTTTCTAAATTTCGCTCTAGTATTTATAAAAACATTCTAAGATTAACAAAACTACTTTGATCTCTATATTTTCATTCTTACTAGAATTTTTGTTTGTAATAATTTAATCATTTACTTTTATATTGATAACTAATTAATCTCTTAGTTTTAGTTGATAACAATTTAATTATTGTAGTTTAAAATTTGTAACAATTTAACCTATAAAAAAAAGTTGTTGATTTTTTTATATAATGATTTAGTCTTTATAATTTCTAAATATATTTTGGTTTTTATTGGTTTATCAATCTACCTATTATACAAGAAACTTAACAAAACTTGTTATGATAAGGACTAAATCATTATAAATTTTAAACTTCAATGAATAAATTTGTTATATGACAAAGTTAGAGTGTACACTGCAATTAGTTTGAATTTTGAAAATATAGGAAATAAATCATTATCAATAAAATTGAGGAACTAAGTCGTCATTTTAACAAAATTATTTTCTAAGGGGACTGAATTGAGAATTCGTGGGATGTGGTGCACGTGGCAGCGGTGGGATGTTTTGACATTCTTTATTTGCCACGTGGCATGACGACAGTTGATGAGGTTCTTTTTGTTTCGTCTGGAAATTTGAGTCTTTGTAGGTGGAGGGATGCCCGCCCCTCCTTGGTCGGAAATTTGTCTACTGGGTTCAAGAATCAGCTGGGAGGACCCCTAAAAGATACGACGGCCGGACATTTTGGTAATTTTATTCCTATTTTATTAGTTAAATTAAATTCTAATAATACATGTACTAAATCTTCATAAACTTTAGTGGAGGTTTTAATAAATACCCCTACTTTCAAAAGTTTCATTTTTATTCTTTTACTTTAAATTTAGGCTTTGTTAAAAAAAAAAAACTTTCAATTTAGGCTAAACTACTCTTCTTCTATCAGAATTTTTGTTAATATGATAATTGAAAAGTGACGTGGTCGTGACTTATAAAATAGTGGTATACAACACAAAATATTACAAGTTTCATCTATGATCCTGAACTTTTATAATATGTTTCAATTATATCCTTATCGTTTAAAAAGTTTCGTTTTTAAAAAGTTTCGTTTTAACCTTTAACCTTTGAAATGGTTTCAAAACAACTTTGTTAACTTCTCTATAAAAATAAAAATGGAAATATGACATTGTAGTGAGTGGTGGGTGTAAAAAGAATTAAAAACTTTTAATCACATTCAAAATTGTCTCGAGTAAGAGGAATTTTTTTTTTCCTCTTTTAATCATTATACTATAAAAAATACTCTTCATCCTTATGAACCCCAAAACCACGAAAAGTACAAATTCAATAACCTCGAAACTCAAATTCAAAAGTAGAAATAGAATAAGGGATTGTTTATTTATATTATTCTAATCGAGCATTTATAAAATGGTTAAATGGTTAGGTAGAGAAAATAAAGATTAAGTTGAAGAAGGCCAAATGTCTTGTTGCCGAAGAAGAATAAAGGAGGGATAAAAAAAAAACAATCAAAGAATAATGTCTTTTTGGAGGTAGTAAAACATGTGACATTAAATTATTTAATTAAACTATGTTCCAAGAGCTAGCATTGAAACGTGTCGTGTTTTTAGTTATATTTTCTTTAAATATACCGAAAGAGGGGCAATGGGAGGCCATGTTCCATAGACCAATTGAGATCTGTTAAATGATTTATTGTGGGAGCATGTGGTGTGATCGAACCACTCAATTTTGGTGAAAGCAATGGCACACACAAGGCGTTTTCTCATTGGTGGACCATTAATTTAGTTTACGAATCAGTCAACAATAATAAAAAAACATACATGGTGAGAATTTGTTGTTTTTTCTTCATTGGAATTCAAATTCACAATCTCCTAGTCGGATATATGTCTTAATCTTCTAAGCTATGTTCTCGTTGACAGAGTTTCTGCTTATGTGGTTGGAAATTTGAATTCAGTGTTTTACTGCTCTAATACCAAATTCTTAGATATAGATTTATTATTATTATTATTCATTGATATGTGGAGTGGAGATTCGACATTTTGATCATTTTTGTCGATAATATATGTCTTAACTAGTTGAGTTAGGTTAAAGTTAGTGGTTAATCTAGACATTTATCAATTAGATAGATAGA